ACCACCGTTGTATAGTCCTCCTTGAGGACTGTCCCTAGCTTCCACTGTGTGTACACCATTTTTTTCTTTTTCAAGAGGACCATGATGTCCCTATTGAGGCAGGAGGTCAGGTATCTTCAGCGCGGCTCTGCATTGTGTTGTATCAATTTGTAATTTATACAGTAATGTGGAAACAGCCAAAGTCATAATGTGGGAGCCCAGAAGCCCAGACTTAGTTTCCCACTTGCTGAACTCAGAGAAAAGAAGGTGCTAGTCCTGATTTGAATTAAAGCAAAAGTAATCCCTTCACATGCATTGCAACTCTGCAATACCCAACACTGATTTAACGAACGCCAGTTAACTGACCTTTTTTGACGAGATGAAGTTAAGTTAACTGTCTTGAGGTTGTATTGTAGGAATTCTCCTACAGGTCAGTTAACTGGTCAGCTTTTCCGACCAACTCATTTCAAGTCCGATCCCTCTCTGTTAAACTCAGGGGTTGCTAATCGAAACTGCACCCTGATCAAACCCCACAGGATGGATTCGCTATTCATTCAAAATCCAGTTTATTCTTCCTGTTTCCTTAGAGCCCTCTGCATAAGCAGGTCCTTACTATACACATGCGAATAATTTGTGAATCCTGCATTATAATGCTCAATCTTCTTACATTCAGGGGAAGAGCTCTCTTTCTGACACAAGCAATTACAATTTGCAACCATAAAGGAAGCATCTGCTATAAGGATGACCATACCCTCCTTACAGCTGATCTCAGGCACTGTTCTCCTGTTTCATGGAAATGTTTTTCTGGCCAACAGCCAGAAACTTAGCAGGAACGTGACTTGGCTATACGCGGTAACAATCAAAGATCAGATCTGTGGCCACAGATGAGAAGACTTGCCAGGAGAAAAGGGATCAGTTGCATGCTGTATATATAATTAAACATAAAAAGATTTCCAGGGCATGAGTGCACAGTTCCCTAAGATGTATATAATATACTCAGCTTGTGGGAATTGCATTAACATTTACAAATGGGTGTTCATTTTCTCTTACAGATGCTGGTTCGGGAAGGAACCAGGAAAGTACATAGACTACATATATCAAGGCCCGGTGATTCTTGTTCTTCTGGTAAGCTTATGTGTGGGACTAAGGAGAACTGCATCAAAATAATGAATGTTTATATAGGCCCCTCTTGTATTCGGTGTGTAGTTAGACTGTGCATGGTTTAGACTTGCAATGCATGTGCAAACCCTGAGAAACGTTGAATGTCTTCACATCAGCTTTTCTTGTGCCATTGCATTAGGCCGTGGGAGCTTGCCCCTGGTTGTGGTTCATGAGGAAGTCAAGCCCGTTGGTCCTGTTCCTTTGGGGCAGACTCAACCCTGTAGCAGCCGCTGTATAAACCAGGGCTTGAAGCATCCTGGTGTCTGCCAGAAGGGAGTTTGTAGTGCTTGTCAGTCAGTCTCTTTCTCACCTCCTCCAAATACCTGCCGAGTAGGCAGCATAGCTGGGGTAGTAGGGAGGTATGCCAGTCCATCGTATCTTTGTGATTTTTGTAGAAATGCCATCTGCCTCGGTCTCGGGAGAGGCTCGACTATAGTGAGTCTGGCTGATTCGAGGAAGTACAGTTGGCACTTCCCCGTACCAGCTGGGGTGAAGCCAACCTCTCCTTACCCGCCCATCTGTTTCCACTGTTTAAACACTACATTACTGCAGTTCCAGTCTGCAGCAAGCTTTGTGCAATGCCATTACCCTCATGTGAGCTGGAAGTACACGCAGAGAACCGAATCGCAGGTCTGGCGTGAGTCACCTTCTGCTGAAGCCCCATTACAGTGGAGGTAATGAAGTGAAGCAGATCGCTGCTGAGGGGGAGGGAAAGGAGACTGGAGATTTTCTCTCCAAGATCCTCTGGGGACCCATCTGTAGGGCCTTTCCAACCCGGGAAAGAACAACAGCACCCCAACACTTCTTCCTGGCCTTTCCCTTTGGGCACAATTTATTAATGCACATAAATCAGTGGTTGGCAACCTTTTCTGGCTGCAGGCCAGAATGACCCATCTCAGGTCAGGGCATGAGCATAGGTGGGTGCTAGGACCTGCCTGAAGCTGGAGTCATAGGGGAAAGCACCCACAGTTGAAGCCCCGCTCCATCGAATGCCTCCAAAACCCCATATCCACAGACTGTATCCATGGGTCCATGAGCTGGATCCAGCCTGCAGGCCATGGGTTTTCAAACCCTGACACAGACTCATTGTGCAATGCAGAAGCTGTTCCCATGACCAACAGAGGCTCCCCCATTGTGTTGTATGAATCTGTAATTTATACAGTAATGTGGAAACAGCCAAAGTCATGATGTGGGAGCACAGGAGCCCAGATTTAGTTTCCAACTTGCTGAACTCAGAGAAAAGAAGGTGCTATTCCTGATTTAGAAGGAATTAAAGCAAACGTAATCCCTTCACATGCCCTGGTGTATTGCAACTCTGCAATACCCAACACTGACATAATGAACTCCAGTTAACTAACCTTTTTTGATGAGATAAATTTAAGTTAACTTCCTTGAGGTTGTATTGTAGGAGGTTGCTTGTCAGAGTAACTCATTTCAAACCCGATGGCTCTCTGGTAAACTTGGGGGTTGCTAATCAAAACTGCACCCTGATCAAACTCCACAGGATCAGCTCCTTCAGCCCTTTGAGGCTGTCCCATCTGGGTCTGATCAGAGAACATGGATGGCTTTTCCCAAGCCCCCTTGTTCTCATAGGGCAGAGGACCCTATTATACCTTCAGTCAACTTTTATATTAAATAAAAATATCATTTAATCTCCCTGAAACCACCTCCTCTAATTCCCCTGGCAGTTGCTACCTGTTCCAGAATTCTTCCCGTCATCATTTTTATGCAATCAGCGTTCTCATACTTTTTGCCACTTGCTGGTTTTCCTCCCCAACCTATTGAGAAACTGGGTTTATCTTCCCACACCAAAATCCCATTCCCCAAATTACCTTGAGTGATATTTTTCAAGACCTTTCAATTTTTTTTTTTTTAATATAAAGCATTTTTTATTGACAAGCATTTCATGCCCAGCAGTTTTATGGACAGTGCCTCCCACTGTATGCCACGGTCCTTTGAAAATGTAGCTGTACGTGCCATGGGAGAGCGGCTGGAGGTCCAGCACAAGTATGACTTATTTTCAAAACTTTGGCACTTTTGATTTCCCCGTGCCAGGTTTTCTGTAAGTGCTGTGGTCCCTGTAATTGTTCTGTCGAGGGAGATCATGACAAATTCACAGAGTCCAGCAAATGACAACGATGTCAATTGCTTTTCTGCAAAAACCACCTCGTTTAGGAAAGAAAAGTGTTTTTTGACATAAAAAAGTCTGCTAGAAAAATGTCAGCCCCATTAGTCTGGTTCAGGCTACGTGTAGGAGAAGCTGCCAAGGGTGTGTGACTGAACTATAGCAGTGAACCTCGAGATCCTGAACTAGGAAACCACAAGCAAAGAACCCGTATTTATGTTCTTGGATGGTTCTTGATTAGAGTCTCCTCTGTACCAGGGCAGAGCCCCAGTGAAGTTTGTCCAGACTCCATCATTTGCAGGGTGAAAGCCTGAGAGCTGAGACAATGCCAGGATCAGCCCCCTAGGCTCGAGACAGCTCTAGGATTGGTGCCACTTCTCCCTAGCCCCTTTGTAAAACGGGCCATAGACGCTCACTCGTCTCTTGTAATGCACCTAGGGATCCTCTGATGAAAGCCACACCGTGAGTGTAGTGGCTTCTGTTGCTACTGCTGCTGTTATTTAATAGCCTTGGGCACCTTTGAAGCAGATAATTATAAAATGGCAGAAATGTGGCAGGAAATTAAAATATTAAAATTGAATTCTTGGCTGGTAAGTAAGCAATTAAAGCATTCGGTATTCTGTTGCCTTTCAGGAATCTAATCAAGTAAAGCACAGAAGAGTTGTTATCTTAATTAATTTTTTTTTTTTTTAAAGCCAACACAATGGATATTTTATACCATCTCCCTCGTGCATTTTGACATAATTATAATCTATTAAAAATTCCTGTAGATGGCAGAAAGGCAGTACAGTCACATGCACAACACACCTTACCGGGAGCCAGGAGCCCCGTCTTCTCCTTCTAGCCCCTTCCTGGACTTTTGGCCCTTCCTTCACCTCTCTCTGTTTCTTCTACTCAAATGATGCTCCCATTCCTCTCTTGAAGCCACATTGTAGTGGAGGTGCTCTGAGATCTCCAGAGGAACGGTGCTATACAGGAAATAACTATCTGTATAGGACCTGTGCCATGTCACCGGTGGGAAACCTGGCAGTGGCAAGCAGTGAGTAGTGCCAGGTTTTAGAAAACAGATGTTGGCCCATTCGTTAATTCATTGACGTTTCATGGGGAAATGTTGGGAAATAAGACGAGGGCCCAGATTCTCTTCATCCTGTATACCTTTGAGGTGTCGTAGGATTAGATAGCAGAAAGGACTCCTTTAGCTGGTGAGAACATCCCAATCAGCCCCTTTAGCACCCTCCTTTGTGGGCCCCCTTAATGGAAGGGGTGTTCAACTACCCTGGGAAATGTAGAAATGGCCCTGAAATGCATGAGCAGCCACTAGTTTCTTCTGAACCTGGCAGGGCATGGGCTTGGGGGAGATTCACCCTCTAAGTGGTTTATATTCGAATTTCATTGAGGATGAAAAAAGCACCTCGCTGTTGTCTAGGAGTTTAACTGCTCATGTTTTCTTACCTGAACTTGGGGCAGTTAACAGAGCGCCCTAAGGGATGATAAGATTGAACCGTCACAAAGTCCACCACGACCAATTCAGGCTGGACATAAGGAAGAACTTCTTTACTGTCTGAGCCCCCAAGGTCTGGAATAGACTGCCGCTGGTGGTGGTTCAAGCAGCTACTTTGAACACCTTCAAGAGACATTTGGATGCTTATCTTGCTGGGATCCTATGACCCCAGCTGACTTCCTGCCCCTGGGGCAGGGGGCTGGACTCGATGATCTTCCGAGGTCCCTTCCAGCCCTAATGTCTATGAAATCTATGAAATCTATGAATTGCTGTATGCATTATTAAAATACTACAAATGCACAGTTGTGTGTACAGTTATACGGGCAGGGAGTGGAAAAGCAGTGGTAGAAGCCTGTCCACAGCAATGCAAAGAAGGAGAAGAAGGATGTCCGTATGTACGTGTGCATCTCATCAAGTGAGTCGGCATGAAGAGCTGCTCATCGGGCCAGCAGAGTCATGACAAGTTGTGTTTTGGTATCAGTAGTTCCAAAGCCAGAAAGTCTCAGAAGTAATCTGATATTCAGCTTGTGCATAGTTGCCTTTAGGTCTGCTGTGATCCTGCCACTGGGGAATGCTCTGTGCCATGCTGCCTCGTGTCTCTCCATTTGCTAGGGGCTGAGTCGGGGCAATGGGGATGTGCCTTGGATTCCTGCTCTTGCTTGCTTCGATGGTTCCTTAGGGGCTGTGGCAACTGGCTGTAATTTAGAAGATCCTCAAGGCCGCTCTGGACTGAGCCTCAGGCCAAACCAGCTGCCATCCAGGTCTAGAATTTGGTTCCTGAATCTCGCTTGGGTACCACTGTAACTTGGCCTGTCTCATAAGAATAATGGAAGTACAACAGTAATTGCATTATATAATTGGAGATATTCGATACATTTTAAGAAATTAGGTTCCTTATTTTTTCCATTATTGTTAATGGGGCACTTCTGTGCAAGGAAAGGTGCAGCGGAGAAGGGGTTATGACCCTGAATTCATTCAACAGTCTTATTTTTAACATTCTACTTAAGACATTCTCCCATGGCAAAGCTGCGTTTTTCATTCAAATCCTGTTTCTCATTAAAAAAAAAATTCAGCTATAAATTGTACTAACGCTACTAAATGGTCTGTCATTTTATGAGGCCTCTTCAAGGCTAATCAAGCAATAAATAGTGGCTCAAATGTCCTTTATCACTGCACTTTTAAAGAGTCATTAGGGGAAGTTCTGGATAAATAGCACCGAAGATTGATTTATCCAGGTAGAATACAATGGCAGGGCTGACTTCCCCAGCAGTGAGCCATAAATCTCTGCTTTAGAAATGAGAGGATGGTTCAGTCCTTTTTCTTTGGGTTTGAAGTAGA